ATCCTTCACTAAAGAAAATTATTGATGTTAAGGATGTACATTTGGATTGTATTTTACATTCAGCTTTGAGTCCTGGAGGAGAAATTGTAGCAACTTTGAGTGATGAGTGTTTGAAATTTTGGTGTGTATTTCAAAAACAAAGAAAAATTAAGAATTTAATTAGATAATTAATCAATTTAAATATATATAAATTTCAAGTGTGAATGAATATCTAGGATGGTTATCAAATCAAAACATTTCATTAATTATTGCTAATAAAACAATAATATATTTTTTTTTTTTACTTTTGAATGTGTTAATCTTTTGCCATTGAGAAAACAAATCATATTTATTAATTATTAAATGTCTCTATTTCCATTTTTTGGTTGTTTGTCAAAGATACTGGCTGCAACTTTTGATGTTGGTTGCAACCACATAGTCTTATTGCTGGCATTGTCTTCATTTCTTATTAAAATTCATTTAATCATTTGATAGTCATCTCATTTAAATTTATATCCAGTATATTATCACCATCCTCTTTATCATGTTTGCTTTCACTGATATTGCCACCTTCTCCCTCATTGTAAAGATGATAAAGAGTCATTAAAATATCAATAAATAAAAATTGTTAAATTAATGTTGGTATTTATGCATAATAGAATAATGTTGACAATATATTACAGTTAAATTAAATTAATTATAATATTTTGCAAGTAAGAATTAATTAATTAATGATATCTTTATTATTGTTGTTGTATTTTTTTCTAAAGAAAGAGAGATTAACAGTTTATCAAATCCACAAGTTATCAACAATTGCCTTTAATTTCACCACAACTTTATTTGTCACAATCCATCAATGTCTTTCATTATAATCAAGCCATAACCAAGCCAATTTTCAGATGTTTAAGCATTTATATTATATTTTTTATCCTTGAAATTATTTAAAAAGTTAATGTAGTGAAGGCAATTATATTTATTTAGTTAGGATATGATTATTGAATAATAAAAATAAAAATATTATTATTAGTAGTATATGCTCTATTAGTAAATGAACAACAGTGATTGATCATTAAATAAGGACAAATTTTACAGCAACACCTTCTCTTTAAAGCCACCAATTTTCTTAAAACATCTAAAAATCATTTAATCAATATAATAATTTTAAAATAATTTTTTTTTCAATAAATCAATTATTAATGATGAAATAGTATGTGCATAATTCTAATAATTGTAAGAATATTGTTCTCATTTTGCCATAATATCCAAATGTTTTGTCACTGGTAGGTATATCAGTTGATTCATCAACCATTATACCAAATGCTGTTCATATAAAAAAAACCATAAATAAATAATTAATATGTACGCGTTTGTCGATCAAATAAAATTTCAATAATGTCTAGAACATCTATCTAATCATGAGAAGAAATATTTTGATGATACAGATTTTTATCAACAACCACTAAAAGAAATCATATCATGGTTGAATTCCCAATTATAATTCAATTGTATTGGGCTGAAATCAAAAAAAACTAAAATCAGTCAGTAGACAATAAATCAGGTAAAAGATGGGAAATTTATCAAATGAACATATAATTTAAAATTAACTTATTATTATAAAAACTATTTAGATGAAAAATTACAAAATTGCATGATTCCAATACCAGAAAGTACATAGTATAAGAATATGATTGATTAATCATTATCGGGTAAAAAAAAATATATAAAGTAATCACTTATGAAAAAATGTGAAGCAGGAAATAAAGATAAGTAAAAATTGTAAATAAAAAATTGATAGAGGAAAAAAACTAAATTAGATGGATAGATTAAAAATCTTGTATTAAATTAATTTGTTTAATTTATTTATAAACTCCTTTCCTATTCTCTAAATATACATTTATTTTCTATTTTGGGGAAGCAACTGATTTAAAATATTTTCAATGATATGTTGATTACCCTCTTTCAATTGATAAGTCATGAATTTACTATTAATATCAAATTGTTTAATTAACTCTTTTTTCAATTCATCAAATTGATTCTTTAATTCTGCATGATTTACTTGTAAATTCCTTTTAAGTAATAATTTTATTGAAAATAGTTTTTTTTAATTTGCTAAAGACCTTTTCCTACAAGTTTACTACTATGTTAACCTCAAATTTGGCATCTATATACATTTAAAAACATTTTTTTTTGCCAGGAAGAAATGATCTCTTGATTACAATTATAGTTATTTGATGAAATTTTTGAAAGGATATCTATTGATGATAGTGTTCAAAGTCTGATATTTAATTATGTCTAAAAAATTTCATACCTAACCAATTCCAAAATATAGCATATATGGTTACAGGTAAAGTAAGTGGAATTAACAAACAATAATATTCATCTTTTTTAATCAAATCCAATGTCTATCATTATCATCATAATATTAGTTTTTAATATTATTACAAAAGAAACACAAATATATTTATAATAAAGTTTACCTTATTTCCGGTTTCTGGTATGAGCTTGCTAAAAACAATGGCATACATACTAAACACAAATATAACAAATGTGAGAATTAATAAGATCCATCCCCAAATAGCAGTTGTATCAGGCTCTTGTTGCGATAAATGTCTTGTAGATTTACGTGTATAAGTTGGCGTGTTTGGTCTTTCTATCAATAACGAAGGTTGTGATTGTAAAGAAGAAGATCGTTGTAATGGAATTGGTGATAATCGTTGATTTTGTATGGAAATTGATGATGATGTTATAATATCATTGTTCTCAAAATTATCGTTATTATTATTAGAAGAGGAAGATGAAGAGGGTAAAGTAGGTGAGGAAGGTGTGAAGGAAGAAATGGGAGATGTAGAATTGTACATTTGATTAAAATTAAAAAATACAGTCAAACCTCGATAAGCCGAACTTTTGGGAATCACAAAAATAGGATCGGCTTATCAAAATTCGGTTTATGATA